AAGGTGCCGCTCGCCTTGTACTTATCGTCAACAACGCGCGGAAGACTAGTTAGCCCTCCGTTTAAAGCGGCCACAACGGAGGCTAACCAGCTCGTGCCGCCTTTACGTGCGAGACAAAAGTACATCATTAAGATTTTTAATCGACACCGGCGCCGAAGTGTCTCTAATGCCCAAACACAGTGGCGACGATACGCAGATTACTCCTACGAAGTTAGTAGCTGCTAACAATACTTTTATCAACACCTATGGTAAGAAACGCATCATTTTAGATTTAGGTTTACAGCAAACATTCTCTTGGGTTTTTATTATTGCTGACGAAGCATATCCGATATTGGGTGCCGATTTTTTACAATATTACAATATATTGGTAGACGTAAAAAGCAAGGCAATCATACACCGTACAACGAATTCGCAGACCATCTGTCAGATAATGAAACTAACACGCAGCATTATCTCATTAAGAGAGACTGATGTATTTCAACGCATTTTAGCACGTTTTCCTGACCTCAACAGCGATGCGGCTCAGCCCAAGAAAACCCAAACGACATTACAACATTATATAGAGACAAGAGGTGCACCCGTCGTGCAGGAAGTAAGCCGTCTTTCTGCAGAAAAATTGGAAATCGCAAAAAGAGAGTTTGAGTACCTGTTAGATCGTGGAATTAGTCAGCGCTCGAAAAGTCAATGGGCCAGCCCGTTGCACATGGTGAGAATGTCGAATAGTTCCTGGCGCCCATGTGGCGATTATCGACGTCTGAACGCTGTTACAATCCCAGATAGCTACCCTATGCGCCATATTCAGGACTTTGGTAGTGATTAACACGGTAAAACGATATTTTCCGTGATTGATTGCAGAAAGGCTTATCACCAGATTCCGGTACATCCGACAGACGTGCCGAAGGCGGCTATACTCACCCCATTTGGGCTGCTTGAATTTAAATTCATGACGTTTGGCCTGAGAAACGCCGCTCAGACATTCCAACGCTTCATAGACGAAGCAGTCAGAGGACTGTCATTTGTATTCCTGTATTTGGATGATGTATTGGTGGCATCTTCTTCGCCCGAGGAACATGCGCAAAACCTGGAGGTACTGTTAAACGCTATCGTGAGAATGGCTTGATCATAAATGCGGAGAAGTGTCAGCTAGCTAAAGCAGAAGTGGAATTCCTAGGCCATCTCGTGTCGTCAAGCGGTGTCAAACCTCTTCCTCACAAGGTAAAAGCTATTCTGGATTTTAAAAAACCGATAGAAATCCACGAGATTAGAAATTTTTTAGGCGCGGTAAATTTTTATCGGCGATTTTTGCCGCATGCGGCTGCCACTGAGGCACCTCTTCATAAATTGATGGGGCCGTGTAAGAAGCGTGACAATACCGTGATAAGCTGGACAACAGAAGCAGAAAACGCGTTTCAAAACTTAAAAAAACAATTGGGCGAAGCGACACTACTTGCTTTTCTGTCGAGAGGCGCCGCCATTGCTGTAATGGCAGATGCATCGGATATCGCCGTAGGGGCTGTACTCCAGCAACGAGTGGGTGACGAATGGTTACCTTTAGGGTTCTACTCACAGAAATTTACTCCGGCCGAACAACGATACAGCGCTTACGATCGCGAGTTACTCGCCATTTATAAAGAAGTCCGACACTTTCGCTACTTTTTAGAGGAAACGAATTTTATAGTTTTCACCGATCATAAACCGCTTATACACGCTTTTGACCAAAAATGGGAAAAGCTGTCACCACGACAAACGTGACAGTTGAATTTCATAAGTCAGTTTTCGTCGGTTTCGTAGCCGATATGCTCTCACGGATAGAAACGTTCGTTATTCCATCACCAATCGACCTGCAGCATCTGTGCGACGAACAAGATAAAAGCAGCAAGTTACAAGAGCTGCTAAAAGGCGAGTCTACTGCCTTGCACCTGGTACGTTGTCGTCATCCAGATACGGACATTGATATAATTTGTGATGATTCAACTGGCACACACCGCCCCTATATTCCGCGAGCCTGCGACAGGTGGTGATCAACGCCAATCACGGGTTAGCACACCCGGAGGCACGCGCAACCATTAAGTTAGTTTCCAAGAGTTTTGTGTGGAAGAGTATGAGCAACGATTTACGGGCACGAGTGCGTAGCTGCTCAGCATGCCAGAGTTGCAAGGTTGCAAGACATACAAAAGGAGAACTGCAAACATTTACTGTACCTGCCAAGTGATTCGAACATATTAATGTGGATATTGTTGGACCTTTTACGCCTTCTAGGGGGTATACGTATTGCCTAACGTGTGTAGACAGATTCTCGAGATGGATAGAGGTTATTCCGTTGGAGAACATGACAGCTGAAACTGTCGCCAGAGAGCTACTCAATGGCTGGGTAAGCCGTTTTGGTACACCGAGGTACATCACCACGGATCAGGGCCGGCAGTTTGATAGCGCCTTGTTACAACAACTAGCGAAACTGCTGGGAGTGAAGCACGTACACACTACCAGCTACCATCCACAAGCAAATGGCCTGGTGGAAAGATGGCATCGGGTTCTGAAGACCGCGCTCAGGTGCCATTCGGCCGACGCCAACAGGGTGGACGCATTACCGATTGTTCTACTGGGTTTGAGAACGGCTGTGAAGGAGGAGTTGGGCGCATCTGTCGAGCAAATGCTTTATGGCCAGACGATCCGACTTCACAGTTTTTGGACGCCACAGAGAATATGGCCGCGGATGAGCAGAGTTTTTTGAGGGAACTACGACAACATTTCGAGAACATGAACCCGGTGCAAACTTCACAGCACGGAAGGCGTGCAGTTTACGTGCCCAAGGACTTGCGTTTTTGTAGCCACGTATTTCTACGGGACGACACCATCCATAAACCGTTGAAGGCTCCTTACGACGGACCATATCTTGTGGTACACAGGCATCCGAAGAGGTACACTATACTCATCGGATCGAAGCAAGTTACAGTATCTATTGATCGACTCAAACCGGCCTATTTTCCTAAAGATGAGTTAGCAGCTATAAATCGATCTGGAACATGGAAAGAACTACCTATTATTGGCGCTCCTTCTGGAAAGGGGGTGTTGTACGGACTAGCCCTTACACTGGCACGGTAGTACACTCAGGTGGCAACACTGAGCTGGATGAAGCAACGTCAAGTTTGAATTTTTAACCGATGCACGTCAGCTAACTTCACGCAAACATAGATACACATTTTTTATTTGACATATTTTGGTTGCAACACATTTGTTTTGTGAGAATTGTATTTGACTTTGTTGAAGCCAAAAGCCTTCAACGTTTGGGAAACACTGATTTACTTTCGGCCCCGCTATCAGCTGCAAAGATGCATAACTGCCGAAAGTACACCGGAGCTTCCTTTACGATATCACATGCTTATATAAGTATGTATCTTATTAGCTGAACAGTAGTATAGTCCAAATATACGTTGGAGTACATATCAGCAGCTTCCGAATTCTTGGCACAAAGGTAATCTTCGTTACGCTTGGGTATATTATATTCACTTAATACTTTTCTGCACTCTTAAAATCTTAAATACAGTTAATACATTTTTACTCATTAAATCGTTTGGTATATTTTCATTTTTTCCATATCCATTTCCTCTGAGTTTGAATCGGCGCTCTATTGAGGTATTTTCGCCCAAACATTTTGGTCCAACGAGCCGTCAAACTTGAGCAGAGGAATATTTTTGTACATTTACC